AGCTATTCTACGCGGACGAAGTCGCTGACATGGCTAGTATAATTATATTCCGAATATAATTTACACTTTAAATTTATACGCTAAATTGTATCACCAATTGAATCAGCGTTATATTATTTATGATAATCGTAACATTAGTAAATTCAACGCGTATCCTATACGAAGCACGCGTAACTCGTTCAAATAAACGTTCAGACCTTGTTCCACTGGACGAAACACTACTTACGAATTCCGAGAGATTCTCCATTAGATGGATTTAAGTAAAACCTCGAGTAAATATAGATCTTATATACGATTCAACTTTCTTTAAATGTTAGATTTTTTAGAACTAAGATTTTTCCTCACTTTCAGTTGCCTGCTGAAAATCAGTTTCAGGTCTACAAAACGGTCTAATTTAGGCTGAGTTCTTACTCAGCCTAAATTAGGCCGTTTGTTACGACTTCCTATTCTACCAACTTTTAACACATAACTTTTACTGTTAAGATTAAATTACTTTGTTTTTCCTTTCTATTTAGTATGCAAACCTTAACCTTATTTATATCATGCCTTTGTGTCGCTAATGGCAGTAAGTCATTTTATATATCTGTGTCGCTTTTTTAGTTTTTTGTTTACCATAGTTAAACAATTAGGTATAGTACCTCACAACATAAGCAGAACTTAAATTGAACTATCGTTTTAGTAACTGCGAGGGAAAGTTAAACCTTAGTTAGTACTAAACTTGTTTGAGTTACGACACAGTTACCTAGAGCTATTGTAAACGTTAGTCGTAGACCTAGTTATCATGCGCAACATATACTATGCTCTAAAGCTTTGAGGATGCTATGTCTAATAAATGAATTATTTTACTCTTCGGATAAATGTTATAAGTCAGTTGCAAGTGTTCTTCGTGAAACGCAGACATCGTTTATATTTGAGTCTGCTAGAGGCATAGTAGCCTAACGGCAATTTTACGACTTGGCTTATTTATATTTTCATAGTCTGTGTGTTAATCTACAAGGGCACGGTGACTGAAAATCGTCAAGATAAGTTTTTACACAAATAATAGTACAAATTCATTTACGCCTTAGTTAATTGTCCTTTTTATATTCTTTCTTATTGAAAATCATGTTTTTTGTTATTAGGCCATTCTGCCTCTAGCACCTTCATAATATACATACTTATTATTACTGACAAAAAACTGAACGAAAAAACAAATATTTTCTACAGACCTTGGTGAAATATAGTATACATTATATGTGTACGAGTAATTGTTTTAATATTTATAAAGAACAAAATAAGGTTGGATGAATTACGAAAAATTGGGTACATAGGCAACTAAATTATTGTAGGTACATCTGTAATTAGTTATGTAATATTATACTGACTACTTTCTGTTGTTTGCGCGTAGTATTTCTTAATTTTTTAGTATATCTTTCGCGTTTTATACCGTTTAAGTGTTTTATTTAATATTTTTAATCTTAATGATGCCGTCCACACCTTATAGCGAAACGTCAAGAGCCTCTTCTCGCTCACGTCGATCGAATGGCCCGAAAAACAATGATATGCTTAACGATGGCCGTGAAAGCGTTCCTATATAGTGTAAATATTAGTAAATTATTTAAATCTGAAATTTGAATTTGAAAATGGTGACCTAATCTGTTCCGAATTGTCCAATATATATTCGATTGACAAATTCACCCCACGCATGTTTGAAGCGCCGCAACTCTATTTAGCGTTAAAAGCTTCTAAATTGAGTTTCTATCAAATTGCGCCGTATTAGAAGGAAAATGTATCTCGAATACGTTCTATGGATCATATTTCGACTCTTTCCTCGATTTTGTTATTCACGGTAGAGTCGCGTTCAACGACGCGTTTTGTGCGAAACTCCCCTCATTTTGAAAACGTGTATCAAATACGTGACTTTTTAGTCTCAATTCAAAGATTTTAATGAAACTTCACAGACATATATATACTTATTCACACGGTATACTGTAAGCGCGTGTATTTGTCTAAAACAATGACCCGGTATAAAACGTAATGTGTTTTGTTAGATATTATCTGTAGTTTACGTACGCTGGCGAAAAAACTTGCTATCAATCGTCGATACTGTACGCAAGTAGTACACATTCAAATAAAACATTTTTAACTGTTTCAAACTTTAAAAAAAAATCCACAATTTATTTTAACTACGACCCGACTTTTGGTTGCAGCAGCATCAGGCGTGGTCAGGTCTAATGTCAAAGTCAAATATGCTACGCTAGCGCTACAAATATCAAAATTCTTTATTTTTAACACCACTATGTATTATGATTAAGATTTAGTATTTTATTTAAATTTTTACTTTCTCGTTAAGTTAAAAGTTTTTAAATAAATAAATAAAAATAATGTTCTAATGCATAATTTAAGAAAAACATTATTAATTTAAATAAAACACTTTAACGCTTTAAAACGGTATATTTATTAGTTAAACTTTATGAAAATTATTTTAACACCGTCCGACGTTTCGAATGCTTTACAGCAGCCGTCTCCCCGTGACCACGGCTATATCGCGTTTTCAACCCTTAAATTGTTTTATTTTAATGTGTACTACTCGCGTAAACTACAGACAGTATTTAATACATTATAAAATTCAATTAGTATGTAATTAGGTAATTTTGTATATTTATTTGTTTGAGTTCTTCAAACTTGATAGCAACCTGAAAGCGGCTTTAGGTGTTTGTTTGAAACCCGAGTAATTAGGGCGAAGTTGGTTAAGTTTCCAACACGTCCGCTATACTTGGCTAACAGGGGCAAAACATTAATTACCCACTTTCTAATTGAATAAGGTGTAAAAGTCTGAAGTTATTTCCACAGATAATAATATCTATGGTACTCCACAGATAATATAATAATATCTTTAGTAATATTTAGCATTAAAATGTTTTTTCCATGGCTTTTGAAAGTAAAAAATGTTTTAAGGAGACAAAATAAACTCTCTTTTTAAACTTACGACAGAAAAAAATATGTTTAAAGAAATAAAATGTAAATAACTTTTCGTGTTTTTGTATAATCAAATACTATCTGTAGTTTACGCGAATAGTACAAATTTAAATAAAACACACAAAAGACCGTGGCTTCACCGTGACCACAGCTGCTGCATAGCGTCCGAAACGTCGGGCCGTAGTTATAATAATTTTCAAATAAGTTTAACTGATAGATATCGCGTTCCAAATCGTAAAAGTATTTTATTTAAATGTGTATTATAAGTACATATAAATGTAATTTAATCTAAAAAAGGTTATTCACAACTCGATAGAAAAATATAAATTTTAGTTTATAAACAAATTGATAACTTATAAGCAACCGAAGGCTATAACTGAATGAACATGAACGAAACGCTAAAATTATTTCATTCCAGACCAATGGTGTACGAAATTGTCACTTTCCTTCTCACAAAGAAAAATAAGGGACTTATAAATAATATTTTCGAGATATAAGTTACTTATGCTGTCGTAAGTGTATAGAATCCTCGTTGCTTATCAATGCACACAATCAACATGACAGCTTAAAATCACGAAAGAAGAGTATAGCTAGTTTAATATTTAAATAAAACACTTTATCGGTTTCAAACGCGATATATTAGTTAAATTTACGGGTAAACTCACTGTGACCACGGCTGCTGCAAAGCATCCGAAACGTCGGGCCGAAGTTAAAAATCATTTTTAAATAAGTTTAATTAATATATCGCGTTTTAAACCGTTAAAGTGTTTTATTTAAATGTGTACTACTCGCGTAAGCTATAGACATTATTTGGTTTAATATTTATACTATTTATAATAGTTTGCTATTAGACATTATTAAGATAAAAATCATCTTAGCTATTATATTAAAATGGTATACAAAGAAAAACAATAGTCAAGATACATTTTCAATCAAAATTGTTTATTGTAAAAGTTTTTTTTTTTCTAAAGTAAAAATGTAGGAAGAAGATATAGAAGATACTTAGTTGCCGATGAAAAATTAATTTACGTCATTAGATAATTATTTAAAACAAGATTGTAACCATTTTTACTCCTCCTAGCTATCGAATTGAAAGTATAATAAAATGATGGCGAATTTTATATTTTATTTAAATAAAAGCGAGTAATAAAACTTTTTGCATAACACAACGAAAGACGTTAAGAGCGTATATTTTCCCCGTAAATATGTTGAAACTACGAGGCCAAAGTTCGCTATGCTTCGTTAAACGTAATCTAACGAAAGTTAACGACGCGAGGTCTCTCTGGCGTTATGTTTGGGGTTTCCACCACAATAAATTAAACATGAGATTCTTAGAGTGCATTGTATGAAGCCGTTTTAATTGACTACGCCGTACATGTGCTACGAAGTACTACGCCGTAGAGAAATACTGTGTTTTTATTGTGTTCAGAAAAATTACATTGTAAGTTTTAACGAATTTATTTACGAATTTTAAAACTGTATGAGCCTGTTCAGTTATTAAAAATCGAATCGAATCGTTAACAAATGTCGAGAGTTAGAATAGTAATTCTCGGCATTTAACATTTCTAATGATCTTAGTCAATGCTTTCACCCTATGAACCTACTCAATACGTTACAATAAAAATTCACTGAAAAAAAACTAGATCACTATTTATTGTAAGATATTATTTATCTTAGTGTTTTTAATGGGCACGGGGAGACTGACCACGGCTGCTGCGAAGCATCCGAAACGTCGAGCCGAAGTTAAAAATCATTTTCAAATAAGTTTAACTAATATATCGCGTTTTAAACCGTTAAAGTGTTTTATTTAAATGTGCACTACTCGCGAAAACTATAGACAGTATTTTTTTTTTTTATTCTTTTTTTATTTTATAAGCCATACATCTTATGATTAAGTCAGCTTAAAAATAAATTACAATGGTTTATGAACTATATTACTTAGGGATAACGATTATTGTTATAATATTCGGATCTAAGAAACAATGACTTTGTGATGAAACTTAAAAAATTAGCACTAAATTTAGCAGTGAACCCTGAGCTCCCTAGAGGAAATCCCTAGCAGAGCACTGGCTGTCACTTAGGAGTTCCAACCTAGGTTGTTCGTTGATTTTACATTCTAGAACTAAGTGGAGAAAGTCCTCTACTCTGCTGCACCGTTCACAATTTGGATCATCTCTTTTTTTCATAATAAATTTGAATTTGTTGAGTGGAAGGTGATATGTTCGGGCTCGGAAGCAAATTACCAGATCCTTTCTAGTGAGATTGAGTGAGGAAAACCAGGGTATACGTGGAGGTACATTTACAATAGATTTGTACCAGATACCTTTAGATTTCGAGCAGTCATCGAAGTAAGATTTAAACTGAATGTAATTATCCATTTTAACTTTTGAAAGATGATCAGAATAATGCGGGGTAGTGTCCAGCGGGATACCGTTCTTTAAGGCCTCGAATGCCAGCGAATCTGCTATTTCGTTACCCATTATGCCCACATGTGAAGGAATCCATTGTAAACGAACTTCAACCCCGTTACGTATCAATCTATGTATACATTTAATAATGAGGTAAGTTTCGTTTCTACCGACACTGTTGCCCCTAGCACATCCTATCAGATGCTGTAGACCGCTCTTCGAGTCAGTTAGAATTACAATTTTTCGATGAGTTGTCGATTCTATGTAATGAATTGCTTCCATAATTGCTACAAGTTCGACACCCATTATAGGTATACATGGATGTTTGATCCGAAATTTGGCCCCAAAATCCGCAGATTCATCATAAAACGCGCAACCAGAACCATGTGATGTTTTGGACCCGTCCGTGAAAACCCGTGCGTAGCCCATATATAGAGCATCCATGAAATCTTCAGTACGTTGTTTAATATCGGAAATAGATAATTGAGCTTTGTGTTCAATAGTACTGATTCTGTGTATTATGATTTTATCCCAATGAAGGATTTTGGAATCATATGAGAGCGAAAATTGAGGCAGAATTTCGGATTTTGACATAGGTAAATTAGAATACTTTCTGAAACTTTCCAGTAATAATGGAATTTGATTTTTGCGCCAGTATCTAGAGCCTAAATTCAATATGCCCTCTAATGATTCTAATTGCTTTTCTATAGACAGTATTTATCTTAGTGAATTTTCTTTTTATTACATTTGTCCTCATAATATAAAATTACACTCGTTTTGTCCATTGTTTATTTTTACAAAAGGCTAACTTTTTTCCACATCTCTAATATGATAAAGTAAGGGTTATACCAAACTACTATAGTTAGACTAATTAATAAGAACCCCTACTATCAAAGAAGTTGCACAAACTTATTATCATGTCCTGCGTTTAAAATTCATTGGTTGCGATCTAACATACCTTTAGTTGAATTTTAGAGTAGCTTTTAAATGTATCCTATTATTTTTTGTCATAAATGAGGACAGTCAAATACATAAAAGTGAAATACCCTAGCTATATAACAACTAAATGAGATGCACTGTCGACGTATGTAGTTTTATTAGCATTTGTGTTTGTGTTTTGGAGCTGTACTGTGCATATACGAGTTTAAAACTGTTTAACAAAGTTTAATGTAGCGATAAATACAAGGTTGGCGTTGGAAGAAATATTTTCTGCTACAAAGGTGTTGCTGCAGGCACTTTTGTATGAACTCCATTGATTGCGAAGCGGAAAATAGATCTCAGTTGATATAATGGAAGACTTTTGAATGCACCGGAATATCAGACCGTTTGTTCTGAGCACAGACTACAGAACTAACCAGAAGGAGTGTTTGGACACAATTGTTTGCAGTGTGTTATATCAAGAACACGCAACCCCACAGTAGAATGACTAGGGCACCATAAAATTACCTCTATTGAGGATATTTACGGATACTAGATATCCAACTTTGGCTTTGAATATTTGAAAATCCACAGACGAAAATCGTAAAGCGATTAAACTTGACGCCTTTTTTATCTGTGGACGGTGGTTCGTGCCCCGGATGGACTCTCGATATTCCTACCACCCGTTCAATATAGATTATCAGACGAAGTACATGTCGGAAAAATTTAAATTGATTACAAACATGTTGGACCTAATGGGGATCGAATCCACGTCCCGTTGATTGTTAGCCATACATTGCTACTACGATCACACTAAGCAGCGCGTCAAAACGTTTTCTCTCGTTAAATTTACTCCATTTTGGAGTAATCGTAGCAGTCTCAGTTTCGAGCGCGTCCTTTTGTTCCAGTATTCTGTGGTTTCAGATACCGTTAATGAGAATGCACGCGTGCGTTTGGTTTGAGAATTGTTCACGAAAATACTGATATCGTATTGTTCCTTCGAGATTTTTTACCTTTTCAGAATGCTATATTGCTACACGAATCACCACTATACATTACAAATCATAAGACCGTTAAGAAAAACAGACAAGAGTAAAAGGAAATATTTAAAAAACTTCTATGTACACGAACAAAGAGACTTGCGTCAAACGTTAATTACGAGAGTACCTTTATTAAAAGTAACTAGTACCTTCTAATGCATGTAACAATATTATAATTAATTCAATATGCTAATACGAAATAAAAAATAACGTTAATGCAACTCCAAAGCTTTAATCTGTAAAAGGAAAAAATAGTAACCGTTTTATAGCGTTTCAACAATTTTAAACATACCGTAACACGCAATTAAACATGTGCGTTTATTTTAAAATAACAGCATTTCAAATAAACATATTTTATGACGTTAAGTAACCGGATTCTGAATTACATTTCAAAAGATCAAATTAAATAAAACAAAGTTTTGTAGGTAGCTTTTACTTAAAATTCTCACTTAGATCATAGACAATTTATTATAGAATTCGAGAACCCGTTATTCTTTTAAATACTTTAACGGTTTAAAACGCGATATATATTAGTTAAACTGATTTGGAAATTATTTTAACTACGGCCCGACGTTTCAGATGCTTTGCAGTACACATTTAAGTAAAATACTTTAACTTTTTTAATATATATTATTAGTTACGAAGCGATATATATTAGTTACAAAGCCGTGGTCACGGGGAGTGTAAACAAGTGAAAAGTGATATGAGCCAGCCCAATATAAGGCAGACTGACGAAATGTTCCGTAACACTGACTAGGTGGGTCAATCTCCAATTGTAATTATTTTTAGTTATTTCATATCGCCTCCTGTTACCATATATGTATTTTGTATGAAAGATATCCTTATTTTTTTTAAATAGATGTTGTTACAAAACATAATTTGTAACAAAATTCAACTCCTGGACTTACCGACCATTGCCTTTGTAATAAGTGTCCAATTTCCCTTTCAATACGGAATCCTAAAAATAAAACATTTTAGTCCTAAGTGCAGTGCATTTTCCTCGCACGAAGGCGGCTAAAACATATTTGATATCGATTTCAGTTCAATTTATGTTAGTCTGGATAGCAATCGAAGTTTAAGAGAAGCTAGAATTGCTCCAGACTAACAACACCCTGGGGTACGTTTGCTCCGAGTTATTGCTATATTATCGCTGAAAACGTATACGTCGATTTCCTTCTTTTGCTAGATGAAATTGAGGTAAGATTTACTAATAATATTATAAGAAGACTCTGTCGTGTTGAGTTGTCGTCTTATTGTTTTAACTCATGTTGTGGATGAATAATGCACGCCCAGATAGCACGAGCTCTCCCCCTCCCACCCGGCAAATAGCCAACCAGAACCACTAAACATACCACCAGCCCTCTATAATTTTCGAGGGTCAAATTCCAGAGGGATAACAGAATCTGATGAACTACTCAACAGTATAAAATCATGAAATCGGCGGTATAAACACACATTGAGATGTGTCTGCAAATTTTCTACAACTGCAAAAATTCAGGTCCTATAGAATCCACAGACTGAAATCAAAATATTTAAAAGATTTTCTATGTGTGGCCAGGATTTGAAATTCATGGCTTTGCCATTTAATATTGTAATTGTAAACTTTAGTATTGCTACCTTCAGAAACAAGTTCCTAAAAAGGTTTTTCAGGTTTAGTTAGAACAATCACAAAATGCTGCAGGAGGAAATTGATTTTTCTTCTTTTATATTTATTATACTGCTAACATTATTATGAGCCCTCTACATTGTTTCCCAACGCTAATGAACTATTTCTGCGCTACAATAGGTACTCAAGAACGTTTAAACAATTTTATAATGAAATGCATTATGCAAATTGTAATTGTGGACCCGAGAGATTTACAGTCAAGCACGCAAGGTGAAAATAATTAGAACATTACACGAGATTATAATGTAATAAGTGCCTACTTACATTTTAGAATTAATTAAATTATGAGGGTTTTTCCACCGGTGATATAATCATAATCCAATAAAATTTGACTGTGTTTTTAAGTTAGATAGATTTTAGGGGCCGTTCTGGCTTTAGCAAACAAATTGATTACGATTCATACATTCTAGAAATCATAAAACATTATCTGTAGTTCACGCGGGTGTTTCATTTAAATGAAACACTTGAAACGGTTTAAAACGTGAAATTAAATAGTTTTTAAATCATGTCATATTTCATAATATAGGACATAGGTAGGTATATATTGTTAGGATTACTTGATTTTGTGTGTGTTTAACTTAGTGAAAAGTATAAATCGATTGATTTTATGTAACTTATATGAACTACCTTAAAGACATACGAATATAATGTTACGAAATAATTAGGGTAAAGTTTGTTAAATATTTTTGACAGCTGGTAACAGTTGTCAAATTCTGCGGAAACCGGAAACTGACATTGTCGATTTCCGCTAACCAATGGAATGGGGGACAAAGTAACGTGAAGTGCTATAAAAGACTTTAAAAGAAGGATTTTAATTTTTTATACGTATATTAAAAATAATTCTTACATGTAAGTGTATAAATATTTAAAAAAGTAATTTAAATTGTTACTATAACAGTAGTTTAACAAAACAGTCTGTACTTTGTAAGTAATTTTATGTTTTAAATATTGTAAAGAGTGGGTCTTATGTACCGGTCTTTTGTTCTTCTACTAAATATTATAAAGGAAAATAACAGAAACAGAAGTGTGCTTAGTAATACATTATTATTTATTTAAACAAGTTATAAACAATACAACAGGAAAAATATAAAATAAAATGTTATAATAAGGTTAGGTATTACAGATAACGACAAAGCAGAGACATCCCTAATATGTACGTATGTTAGACTTGAACGTTCATAAGCAAGACTTTTTCTTCTTGTATGCATTAAACATGCAACGTTTCCTTTTGCAGTAATTTCGTATTACTTTATCCGTTACAATCAGTATAAAAAATATAAATCATCAATTACTTGTTAAGTACAAACAACCCGAGAACTAACTCCATAAAACATCTCTATAGTTATGTTGATTTGAATACTTGAGGGCCCAAAGTTCGCCCCTGCACAAAAGTAAATTAAAACGTCTTCCGAAAGTAATTATAAAGCAGCGAAGAAGTGAAAATTTAATGTGTACGTGTCCATTCATTCGTGTTATTTTACGTCACGACTCCCAAAGGAACCCTTTATATTAAATTCGGGATAATTTAGTCGAGTTTCTGCGCAGTTGAATTATTTTGACCTAACGAACTTCTATAAGTGTAAATTCTATAATCAAATATTTTTAAACAAAACCTAACAGATTAACTATAAAAACATGTCTGCAAAGAAACGTAAAACCAAACTTATTTAGTTGTATTATGGTCTTATTTGTATTCTTATATATTACTGATAGACTGCCTGTAGCCAGATGGTTACCTGGAATTGTGTTCGAGAGGTCCTGAATTCACATTCTGAGGAAACAATAAACCGTGTTGGGCAGGGCACAGAAGCCCGAGGAACTACTTGCCTGTAAAAGAACCGCTCAATGAAACGGACACAGAAATATGTTCGCCCTATACCCCCTGGAAAAACGGGGTTTTAATTTATAAACTATTAATTCTGATAATGGACGTGTATGTGTATTTCAGCATACCTTTAATTTTATTACTTAGTTAATGATAATAAAAAAAAAATGTATTTTAGAAGGTGTAAAAGTTCGCTATCTATACCTACTGCCTCGGTAGTATTTAACAAATGAAACGCATTTAAACTATACTCCATTGTATAATCCTAGATCAAATTCCAGGTTTAATACAGTCTACAGGATAAAGTGGTTCAGAATACTGAAGCTAATCTTTAATCTGACAGTAGCAAATAAAGCAATATTATAATGTTGTGTTGTTGTAAATCGTTATAATGTTAACAAGATAAGTTGCTAAGCAAAAAAATATTCTATTTGTTTTAAGGAATAAGGTAAAATATTTATGTAAAATTCATTATCTAAAAAGTAGAATTTATTTCGAGTTCTCTGACTATTGGTAAAATCACAGTATAAATTAAAAAAACAAACCAAAAAAATAATAACATCCGAATAACAATGAAAACATTTTCTAAGATAAAGACATACTGAAAAAGATTTAAAAGAAACAAAATTTCTGTGATGTATAATTTTATGCTGTCATAAAGCAATAATCTAAATTCAATTAATTTTTACAAAAGACGATATGAAGACATATATATTTTTTTATAAACTTTAAAAAAAACAAGTTGGCACTATAGATGAATATAGATTTAACTTAAAACACTTTAACAATTGTATCAAATGGAAGATAGTGAGACCGTTAACTATGTTTTCCTATGATATATAAGGCATCTTAGTGGATTTTTACAGCTTGTATGAATTAACTTGGATATAATACGTGTTAAGATTGAAAAAATATATATTAAAATATATATATTTTTTATATTTTTACGAGTCTTTTTTTTACAAAAGAAAATCGTGTTTTACAGTTTAAAATTACCCTTTGCTCATTATATCTCTAGTTAATTCATATTAGCCATACCAATATATTCTAAAGCCTACACTAAAAACTAACTTACCTACAATGTAAAAATAAACATTACAAACATGTAACACAATATGCATATATCCTTTGTTATACCAATAACAAAATTATTTAATTCTTAGTTTTACACTATTCATCATTTTAAATCTATTACTATACATAATATAAACAAAAGTAATTTTATATACCAAAACCAGCTAACTTTTTAACAAAAAAGGATTTTAGTTCGAGTACAGGCGATATACCACGATCAACAGCATGCCTTGCTTCTTTTTAAATGTAAAATATTTATTTTCTAATGTAAAGGTATGACAAAAAAATATTACACATGTAAAAGTCATAAAGTTAGTACATCCGTTGTCTGAGTATACAGTATTTATTGGCCTGATTTTCTTCAGGAGTTGGGGAGTGTAAAGAAGTAGCCAATATTGAGTCAAGTCAATACGGCTTTCCTTTTTAAAATATTACTGCGATTAAATGTATATAAACGTTTTTGGAATGTTTCATCCCATAGTATGACTGTTCTGTACTGACTTTAGTTGCCAAGGAGAGAACAAATTACAATATTCGTGTACGGAAAATTTTCTTGGAATATACATAATACAAAAAGTACCCTTGATTTAAAGTCGGTAAAACTAAATTAAAATGCAAGGGCAACTTTAAAAGTGCCTTGCTTTAAACACACATAAGCGCCCTTTTTTCTTAACATTTAATTTTTTTTTTTTGACGAAGATTAAAAAAAAACATCTTTGTTATAAATGGAGACTAATTTTTCATTAGCGCTATTACGCACTTAAGTTACTACGGTGTAAATGGGTGCTTGCGCACTTGGTCGTCGGTTGCTCAGGCAACTCGGCGAGTCATCGCGTAGTGGCGAGGCACACTCTGGTCGCCTACAGACTGAGGCGCCGGCGACTTGCCGACAATGCGTAATAGCGCTTAAACTACACTTACTAGCGTAAGATCCAATCATTTTTTAGTATTATACATGTTATAAAGACTTTTTCAATAACAAAAAAGGACTACTATAGCTTAATCAGTACAATATATCGTTTTCATGCCAAAAACTGTATAAATTTAATCACCGCTAATCTTCGCATGGACTTCACTTAGGCGTGAAAAATTGTTACGCTCAGGAGAGTATAGTAAAGGATAAATTTGTATAATTGACGTCCTAATTCTATTTTGTATAATAGCATCTTACAAGAGTTAAATCCTTTACTATACATGAAAACCAGACTATCCGAACATAGCGCCACAGTTCGAGCACCTTCTATTCTTTAGAGCGAGACAGCACAAAATTCCGAGAGGAAAGAAAAGGATAGCGCACAGTATACCCAAACATGTGAAGTCATCTTCAAGGATGCCCACGCGACATGCAGGGCAAGCCCCCACAGCTATTATAGCTGGTGGAATTATAATGTTTGTCGCTCCATAATTTGGTAAGTAAGCTTGGTTAGGGGCGTTGTAGGGGGTGTACCCAGGTGGTGGGGGTGGATAAGCCCCCTGGAATCCAGGCTGGGCGGATGGCTGTGGATATGGTCCAGTTGGTTGCCCTGGAATTAGAAAAACATATATGTTAGATATTAATCTTTTTTAAATTCAACAAGCATAATTTATGACTAGGGAAGTATGGCAGATATCTGAAATAAAATGGTTCTTAATGTAGTTTAAAAAAACAATAAAAATTTAAACACCTTGCTGCAAGGCATGCCAAAAAACGTAGTATAGGTATTAGCTCAATTCTAACAAGCTCTGAGGAACTTTTAATTTGGTAAAAATAAAGATAGAAAAGTTTTGAAAATATAAAAAATAAATACTATATTATAGGTACTAATAAAATCAATGAGACCTCATTATTACAATCATTAAACATGTTATTACAGTCACAATTCACAAGTGTTATCACATTGATAACATAACTTTCAAGTGTTTATTTTTACATCAACACAATGCTTAGTGAATCATGACTTGCATCATTATGATAAACAAACATGCTACATAGCATTTAGGTTTTAAAAACATATTTCATAAGAATTGGTTGTAAGATGTCTTTTGACCGTTTCAAATACGACGTTATGTATATTCTGCATTTATATACGTGGTTGCTTGCATAACGTCGGGTCATAGTCAAATATCAACTAATAAATTTCCGTTATAAACCGTTAAAATTGTTTTATTCAAAATGTTACTAACTTGTGTAAACGAAACATTATGTGTTAACTACAACTTTTAAAGGTTTTATTACATTCATTTGGAGCAAGAGATGAGCAATGTGGCTGTAACATAATATTATGAAATTTGATACAAGGACTTAGTCCAACACGTATACAGGCGCGTTAAGTTTTTACATTATCCGGTATAACTGAGGGTTGTTCTAGAAAACAAGCTATATTTTAGCATATCATTATTTTTCGGGCTGTTCGGACGACGTGAAGAGAAGAGGTTCTCGACGTTTAGCCATCACGAGTGGACGGCATCATCAGATGTTAGCTCCTCGAAGCCTTACACAATTTATTAAGCTATATCTTAAGTTGATAATATTCAAATTGATTAATTGAATATTATCACCCAAGTTCTAGCCTAACATCTAGTAAAAGTTTTACACAAATAATAATCAATAATAATAATCTTGCATTTTTATTTAAGCTTTAAGTCGTTAAGAATAAATAATGATTAGTATTTGTTTCATTACCGTTGATAAAAATACTAATAAAATAACTCAAGTATTCATTATTGTGTTTATTGAAGCAAAACATGTAATTAAGATATGACCTAAATAATCAAGATCAACATTAGTTATTTGCAGTTAATTGTTTTGAGTTGTAGGCAATTGAATAGTAAATAAATAATGTAAATGCTCTTAAAAAAACATGGTTTTGAGCATTTTTTTATTGTTATAGAATGTTGCAAGACCAGAGTGAAGAGAGACAACAAGTAAACTAACTTCTTTAATATGATAAAATTTATTCATATCGTCAATTTTGTGATAGTGATAGATACATTTTAGTAACAATTTACTCACAAATTTTTAATAAGACTTATATGTCCCTTCTTTTGGGTTTGGAATCTCTGTCATCTAACATTTATTGTTCTGAATAATTAAATGAACTAAAGTAATATTTTACACATACTTAGGATTAATTATAAGGTTAGAATAATATGATCTCCTAGATTTATACTTAAATGTAACCTTATAATAACTGTTAAGTAGAGCAAAATCGAGTATAGTTTTCAAAACAAGAGATTAACAATGCAGCAATATGGATTCCCGTTTTAGCTCTATGGGGTAAGTGTGAGTAATGAACGGGTGAATGATTTCATTAAGCACATAAGTACTTAGTTTGATGAAATACTTTTTTCTTAGTGTTTATTTAATGTATCTTTCCATACACTGGGTCCTAGTGGGTATAATGAAATATTTAATTTATTATGTATAGTAAAAATAAGCGAATAGCACGTTAGAAAAAAAATTAGTCATTACTCATTACAAAGTAGGTAGAATATTTGAGTGGAGAAATTTTTAGATTGTTAATCTAGTGTGTATACAAATATGTAAAATTCCCGCATACATAATCTTTGCCGCATAATTCAATAAGGTTAAGAACCTCGAGATTGCGCACTATAACGCGTTCTTATCTGGAGAATTATAATAGCTGATTCAGATAGATTCAAAGTTTTGCAATATTGAATAAATTTAGTATTTACCTGGTGGAATCGTGGCAGAGTATGGTGGCGGTTGTTCTGTAACAGTCGGTTTCTCCATTATCAATTCTAGAATCTATTGGAACCTAAACACCACCAAGGATAGAAATAATTAAGATGCACAAGGAAAAATAAATAGAGAAACTTGTTGTTTCGCGTTGACGTTTCTCGTCGGCCTCTCTGTTGTTCTGTCAAAAAGTGACAGCAGCATAGTATGACACTGGCAGTTAAATAAGACACCATTCTGTCTACAGATTCTAACATAGACTAGGTAAAATGCCTATAGGTAACTATTATATGAAAAATGTAATTTTATTAAATAATAGTTTAAGTAGGAACTTTAATCAATGCGATTAATAGCATAATATATTGCTTAAAAAGTTGAAACAAATTTAGTCCAAAGATCGAAAATAAATTGAAAAAATTTTCGACTCGGCAGGACTTGAACGTTCCGTGTTGTTGCTCTACCAATTGAGCTACCGAGTCCTACTCCTCATCGTCGAATTTTTTCAACTTATTGAAACATGCACCTCTCGCGCCATGTAATTTCAACCTTAACACTTGCGTATTAAGGTTCAACGTCTTATGCTTTGCAGCTTAAGAAATCATTGTTATAACGTTTCAAACGGGACGCTGACGATGCCTGTTCAAGTTATAGTGCCTTCATGTGCAATAAACATGTAAAAAATATTAAAGTTTTCAAATTTAGTTCATTGAAGTCAACCCCACCTCTAACAAATCGTAGGTTCTCCAAAAAATAATTTAAAATTACTTCATTAATCTTTTATTATGACTTAACTATCATTATTTTGAAATAATGCAGGGCCCAAGGATTTTATCAAATCGATATTTATATAAAATCCATCCATGTTTTAAGGATCTTTTGAAATAAGTTTTTTTTAATAAAACAACCATCTCATATTGAACTTTCCATATATTTATTTTGTTGTCTATAACAGTAAAAACGTGTCATTACTATCTCCCTATTTCTATACAACATACTTTCGTGAGCAATTTACGATCTAAAATGCACAGATTATATTCGAAAGAGTAAAAAAGTACATAGAAACGTATTTTCATGTGAAATATACAATTAAATTAATAACATTATATGCTCATATTTACAGACAAAAATACTAACTAAATATTATATTACCAAAAACAATTTCAAATTATTTCTATACTCCTCTTGTACACATGCCGTGTGATTAAAAATGTAATTATAGGACTGTTTGGTAATTTTAGAAATAGTACGGCGAGTGTACACTAAAAGGGGACGCTAACCATAAAATCCATATTAATAAAATAATTAACAAACAATAATGATAAATGGCTTCTATTATATTTATCACATTGGAATGCCATCATAGTCTAATAACTAAAATTCGTTGATCACTGGTGCGTTGTTGCCATTTTAAATTAAGGAGTCACCTTCGTAGTCTAAATTTACTTTCACTACCAGTATTGGCAAGTTATGACGGCGTAAGCTTTTTTAAGATATTTGCTTTTTCTTAATTTACATTTATATTACCATCGAAATTTATGCTTGTAAGGAATTTGTAATAAAAGCCGAACTGAGCAAATCAGTTACCACTTATTGTATTTAAAAATAACAATGGTCTGATTCCGAGTTGATAAGAAACATATTGTTGCTTTTTTTGTTCAGCCGGTAAAACAGATAGATTGTCGATTTTAGATGTTTATTGGATATCTTAAAGTATGACATATCGTTCGTACTTGCTTTAAGTCCATAGAAATCGGATATATAAAGATCTTTATGCAACTTTGTCCTGATTTAATATAGGTTATAAATCAGTGTTTATTTAATTTATACTAAAATCTTATTTCACCATAATAATATTATGTCATGGATTATGTTCTCTTGTCAAAAATGGCGATTAAAATCGAACGGGTAACCAGCATCCAGTCTGTTCGTCCCGTCTGTAATAATGCGGTCTGCTGTCTGGGAAGACGGTCACTGCTGGGAACGGATGCTGCTGAATGAATTTAAGTGTCACACGGATCTGGAAAAATGGAATAAAAATCATAGTAAATAAATTTACATTACGTACACATTTAAATAAAACACTTGAAGGTTTAAAACGCGAAATATATTAATTAAACTTATGTTAAATTCCTTTTAACAACATCCCTTCGCGGTTGCTCCAAAGCATCGGACTCTAATCGCAGTTACAACAAATCAAATATAAATTTAACTTATATTTTGCGTATTAAACCGTTTAAAGTGTTTTATTGACATAATAATAACTTAAATACACCGAAAGTGTTATTAATCTCAAATAAGCGTCATAAACGAAATCCTGTTTATACTCGTGGGGCATGGGGCGAACGCATTACAGTATCCGTTTCACTAATCGGTTTTTATCTACAGGCAAATATTTGATCAAACTTCTGTGCCTTGCCTGGCCGAAACAATTTATTGTGTCCCCTTTAAACCCTCGTGCTTAACGCAATGTTAGTTACATAGGCTGTCAATAACAGAATAACAAACTAAAAATATATTTTAAAACGTATGAAATAAGGTCGAAATTGGAATGGGCTTGCACAATTTATAAAACGAAGGACTAATATTATTATGTTACTTAATAAATGTCATTACTAACATTATGAACAAAGTGTGGTGGTTCCACGTTGGGCGTGGTACTCAGGTGCTGCAGAATAAAATCGTCAGACTGCTCCAGCCAGAGGTCGACGCCTCTCAGGGGGTCGTAGTTGAACGGGCCAATGCGAAGCATTCCCACTGCGTTATCGTATATGTCCAGGACCTGGAAGTATTATACGTGTGACGAAAGTGCTTATTTAAATAAAACACTTTAACGGTTTAAAACGCGACATATTAGTTAAACTTATTTAAAAATGATTTTTAACTTCGGCCCGACGTTTCGGATGCTTTGCAGCAGCCGTGGTCACGGGGGAGGGTCTCTAGTGATTTATTTAAATACGTACTAGTCGCGCAAACTATAGACAATGTATGGTAAACCTACTTGTGCAGAATTAGGTCCTCCGGTTATGGTTCTAGCGCAGCGCAGGGGCAATTCAGGTCCCTTGTCTGGGAACGTGGCTGGAAATAAGTCACCAGCTCTGATATCCACTCCCACACCAGTCACTAGTGGAGACGGGGATCCCCCTGTCAGTGCTGTGTTCAGCTCGCAACAGCACGCCAACGTCAAGTCAATTTCTTCGGTTAAGCGATGGAATGATACTGAAATAAAAATAAAAATTATATTAATAAAGTAGATAAAAACCTAAAATTTTTAAAATAGTTTACGGTAGTAGTACACATTTAAATAAAACACTTTTAACGGGTTAAAACGCGAAATGTATATATGTATATTTGTTAAACTCTTTGACAAATTTTAAACGGGCCTGACCACGGCTGCTGCAAAGCAACCAAAACGTCTGGGCTAAGTTAAAATAACCGTTTTAAACCGTTAAAACTTTATTTAAATTAAACATTGTTTGCAGATACATATATGTATATATAATTACGCTAGCGTTGCGCTAGAGTTTGACAAAACTAATACATTTAAAAGTGTTAAGTGTTTTAAATCTGCTGTTATACAATAAAAATTTGTTCTGTCATTATTCTAAACAAAAATACAGCCCTCACACAATCTGTAGAGAACTAAAAATGTATTTCAAATCCTTCTAAAGACATCGAGATAATTATTCCTATAATTGGCCGGTAATTCGTTTGTACGTAATAATTGTAATTGGCACACGGGTCAACACATCTACTGAAGCATGAAGGTGCCAAGTGTCGACAATTAAATGCGGAACCACCCACGACACTTGTCATTTGATCTCATTATACAGTTGTATGTCTGAGGTTCAACGAAGCGAACAAGTCAGTTTTGTTACAAGATATTTTAATATCTATACTAATATATGAAGCTGAAGTTTAACCTTTAATGGTAATAACTATGTAGCGAAATATTATTACTATAATGTTTTTCAACAGTACACTGTTATACAAAGTTATATATTACACTACTAAATGTTATACATATATTACACTAATATATAAAGCTAAAGAGTTTATTATTTGAAAACTTTAATATTTTTTACATGTTACTGCACATGAAGGCACTATATAATTTAAAAATCGAAAATAAATTGAAAAAAATTTTGAACCGGCATCGTCAGCAAGAGCACGGAACGCTGACGATGCCGGTTCAAGTCCTGCCCGAGTCGAGTTTATTATTATTATTATTTCCTATCGGGGAGGCCCATAGCAGGCCGGGTGATCAGTCCACACCATCAGCTGACCATTTCACCCATTTTCCCATCTCCTCCTAGTAGAGAGGTTTTTGGATTATCCAATTCTCATCGTGTCCCCTTCAAACCTTCCGGTTTGCTTGCAGATTCTTACTCTTGTTCCATCTTTAATTCTTTAATTGAAGCTGAAGAGTTTGTTTGTTTAAACGCGCTAATCTCAGTATTTACTGCTTCAAATTAAAATAATAATTATTATTTATTATTAAAAAAAAGTTTTACAGAAGAACACAATATAACTCACACATAATATTTGCGAAGAGTTCATCTGAGTACCGATGTGGGTCTGTGAAGCCACCGATAAGCTGCAACTCTAGCCGCCCTTCGGGATATCCTACGGCCAGCTGCTGCACCTTCGCTACCATTGCAGCTGCTGATTCCGCCGTTCCAGATCCATCTAGATGTGCAAGCGCTACCGCACCAGAACCTGAAAGGGTTGTATAAAAATGGTGTAAACTTGATGTCTGTAAATAAGTATATGTAAACCTACTACGTTAATTTTCGTAGAATTAAAAAGGAGAATGTTAACAGGCATAATTTTTGTAGGCTGATTTGGTTCACCATAGAATCGAATTATATTTAATGAGTACTCTCTCTTAGTAATAAACGGCAGTTATAGATCTAACACAAAAACCCATGCAAAAAGAAACAAGAAATACATCTTTAAAATAATGAATATCCCTTTGCGTTTCGTAACATCCCATATCCTTTGTTACTTTGCTTCTAAACTACACTATGAATGTTGTCGATTAATATTTCAATTAGGATGTGGAAGACGGTTCTAAGTCTTGCTAGTTTCAAAGTAAAAACTAGGTTTTACAAAAACAGTTTCATTTTACACTTTTAATTTAAGAACTTAGTTAAAATCTCACCTGAATGCCGTACGACGACTATTATACACGAAGTTGCGTCATCGGAGCCTATGATTGTGACGTTTTCTGAAAATAAAAAATGTTTAAGTTTTTTAACAGTTCCCACAACTGGAACGTGGACCGCCAAAGAGCTACATAAATAAATAAACTTCATCATAGTATGACGGTTTCCTTCACCCAAGAACATGGCTATTTTATATCAGAGGATGACGGGCAAGCACGAAGTCCAACATATTTTAGGAAACTTACAAGCAACATGTTTAAATAAAACACTTTAACGGTTTAAAACGCGATATATTAGTTAAACTTATTCGGAAAAGATTTTTAACTTCGGCCCGACGTTTCGGATGCTTTGCAGCAGCCGCGGTCACGGGGAGAATAAGTTTAACTAATATATCGCGTTTTAAATCGTTAAAGTGTTTTATTTAAATGTGTACTACTCGCGTAAACTATAGACAGTAATTAAGCAACATGTTGGTCACGGTGGAGATCGATCCACGACCCGACGATTATTAGCCATACTTTGCTATCGTTAGTACAGCGGGCCCGTCGAAACGTGTTGCTACATGTCTTTTCCATTATCAATATCGGTCAAGCTTTGGTTCTTTATATTAATCATTGAATAATCCATACTATCATGTGGAACAACAGCGGCCAATTCCCTCTGCGCGACATAGAGCAGACCCTGAGGTGCCACCACCCTGGGCGCGGCAGCGAGTAGCTGCGCTGCCGCATCTCTGTACCCAGGATGTGCAGCTAGCAGCGCCCGCACCGACGTTGGGCATTCGTCTGCGAGGACGCCATTTAATACGACCACCATGCTGCTTCTGAAATGCATATATAATTTGTAAGAAATAAGACAAACACAAATATTAATTAAAATACACAGACTTAGAATATTTGCAATGATTTTAAGATATTTGTAAGAGGTATAGCCAATGCCTTGTTGTAATACTTAGGCTAGTTGTCTTGCTTTTTATCAATTTAAAAATTGGTTTTTACGAACCCTTTTGCGGTATACCAAAAGACGTATTAAGTATTACATTTATATAACCACTTTTAGTAAAATATGCACAGTCTAATAGGAAACATAGCTGAAGCTTACATCAAACCTTTTTACCTATATAATAGATATTTTAATGTCTGTTGTTTACGCGAGTAGTGCACACTTTGAACGCTTTAAACGCGAAATATATTAGTAAACTTATTTATAATATATTTTAACTACGACCCGACGTTTTGGATGCTTTACAGCAGCCGTGGTCACGGGGGGAGAAGTAAGTAGCCACCCCGCAGTTTGAAAACACTGTTCTTATATGTAACTCACCAGATTATAACAAGAATATCCAACAGACGAAAACCACAATTTTGTAACGCCAAATCTTTTGACTAAGGTGTGTATCCTATAAGCAAACGTCTAACAATACATGTTCGTGAAGAACACAAAATACAATTGTGTCCCGTAATGTATTCGTAGGTCATCCACGATGACATTGTCGTATTTACACTCGTACCAACATTTACATAATGAATATATCTACACATGTAACGAGAATATGAAATCTCAATGTAACTGAAAGGTTTATTTATGGACAAAACAACATAAAGAATAATAAATAAACTCTAAGTAAATTAAAAATTGATCTTAGATTGAAAACTATATACATCTACATCAAAAATAGATTATAAATTTAAAAAAAAATCGATGTTGTGTAGGACACATAGCTCAATTGGTTAGAGCAACAGCACGTAACGCAGAAGGAGCCGGTCCAAGTCCTGCCCGTGTCGTAATTTTTTTAAAATTTACAATCGGTTTTTAATTTATATAGTGCCATAATGTGCAACATGTGAAAATTATTTAAGATTTTAAACGAAACGATTCTTTGTTCATTGATAAAAAAGCTATGCTTATCTATGATATCATAGATAAGTTATATAAAGACAGCAATAGAGTAGTGTCTATTTGATAAACATCTTTTTACTCTTGCGGCTTTGAAAGCCTGTTCTATAATTTTCTTATTTTTTTGTAAGCATTTGAAGAGACTAACCAATTTTAAAGGCGAAGAAAATGAGAACGACCTGGAGCGAGATAAAACGCGAAGCTTAAGACCGATCGTTATGGACCACTGTAAACGCCCTCTGCCCCAGCTATCACACAGGATATTTGTTACATGTTTCAAATTTGGCGCCTTTAATGTGTTCCACAGATTGACGTTTGGTTACCTGTCATTACATTGGTATATTATCTGTCAATGCTAATTATTGTAAATCCTCAAGTTAAATTAAATCTCAAATATCTATCTCAATCCTTGTTTAATTTATCAATATTAAGAAAAAACCAATTTTAAATGCATGTTGCTAATTAACATTAACGTGAATAAGTACCTAAGAATTAATTTACTATTACTTGTATACCAAGCCGAGAGAAAACAATCCACATAGATATATAACAGAAATCCTGCCAGTACACTACGCGAAACGTGTTTTTGACCATTAAAAACAATACTTCTCAGAAACATGACGTATAAATTACTTTAAAATATAACGCCGATAAACGACAAACTATTATTGTTCTAGGAACTTTGTGATTCCCAATGAGATGGTCATCTAACGTGACGTACATAGAAAAGGCAGATAAACAGGAAAGGCGACCAAAAAATATATATTCATTGTAGATCAACTATGACAATGTATGACACTACACACAATGTACAGCGTAGCTAAGGGTTAAATGATGCCTTACACTAGAGACCCCGAATTCGATTTCCGGGAAAACGATTAATTGATTTCGTCGGGTAGTGCAGAGAAGTCTGATCAACTACTCGATCAATTAAAAATTGATAACAATTATGACTCGGGCAGGACTTGAACCGGCTCCTTCCGCGTTTCGTGCTGTTGCTCTAACCAATTGAGCTACCGAGTCCTAGACGTCGAATTTTTTCAACATCTCGATACTCGTCCAGTGAAATAGGCACATAAGTGTGTCCGCTCTGCTTTAACTGGAAGCGAGATATCGCACGACTGTAAGTACCTATCGCTATTAAAAATATGCGCAAAACCAATTACATATAAACAAATATTTGCTAATGATAAAATTCCGATTTTATGGCAAATACCCCATACATATCAGGCCCCTACGTCAACTGTGTCAGCGACTTCGTGCGTGTATAATAGTTATTTTGAGCATAAGAAATATGTAGGTGCGTTTTTGTTTTTTTTTTAATCATTTAAAAAGGAATCATTCTATCATAGATATTTTTATCATAGATATTTGGGTATCTTAATTTAACCAACACAAAACGATTTTTTTTAAATTCGAACCTGTAGTTCCTGAAGTTAGCGCGTGTAGCATTCAAACTGACAAACTCTTCAGCTTCATATATTAGTAAGTAGGCCTGCTTCATATCAAACTGTGCCCTATCCGACCGAAACGATTTAATGTGTGAGTGTGATTTATTGTAATCGCTCCTAAGTATCAATTCAACATATGATCGTCACGTACAGATAGCTTAGTCCTTGCCACCAATCGTTTTTAAACTCATTATCACTAGACAAAAATTAGTCCATTTCCGGAGTAATGGATTTATAACAATGCATAACACTTTAATTTTGACTGCTTTGAAAATGACTGCAACTTTGGAATACCTTGAACTTGTGTTATCTATATAATTACCAACATCCAGTTGTTAAAATCCTGATAAACTTTAAATAGATTTCAATAAACGAACTCGTAACACAGTACTCACTCTTTCACTTGCAAGACGAAAACGAACGTAAACACGAAACATTTGAAAATCGCGAACATCGTAGCGTCTCTCGTTAGTCGTCGCGGTTTAAAACTTATCATCGACAAGTGCTTTATCCTTCGTCCGTTGGTGTTGTGACAACTTATAAGGATATTACCACTAATTTATTGCTATTTTTTTCATTATAATTAGCACTGTTTTTTACACTTTATCACAGCACTGTGCGTCGGTCAGTGACATCGAGTCTAACTGAATTATGTTATGATAATAGTAATAGTGAGTTAAATTATTGAAATGACAAAGTGTAAACTTTTAAATTAAACACTTTAACGGTTTAAAATCGGCCCGTCGATGCGTTTTATTGAAATGTGTACTACTCGCGTAAACTATAGACAGTATTTAAAGTGTATACTATTATTCAACGATATCAATGATAAGAATACTTAAGGATGACTAAATTTAAATTTAAACGAAATTGATAATATCTCTTTGTTGATATTGAATGCGTCCATATTTAAAATGATTGCGTGGGTACATATATTCTTTTATCTAATGATAACATTATTTTTGAAGTGGATACATTTTACAGTATCTAAAAATCATAGTCTTAATTCTGGAAAAACTAAGACTATAGTCTATTTTTAGGAATTTGGTGTAGGAGTGTTTTAAAGTTAAAATAATAATAAAAAAATAAACATAATAACTAATAACGATAATGGTTTTATCAAATTTCTTAGTTTTTCTTAAGTGTCCACAATTTTCAGTAAATAGAATGAATTTTCTGATTTTCTAATTCTCTTCGGTTTCGGCTTAACTTTAAATTTTAGAACATTCTGTATACCTGTCTGACTTTCGATTCAATGCGTTAGTTATGATACACGTTATACGCACTAACTAAATTGTTGTAACAAGTAAAGCCGCCTTAAGCACTAGTGTGTTAATGATAAGATAGAAATTCGACGAAATTAACGACGAAACCACAAGTGTTCTGGATTAAATCTATACCCAGAACGGCGAGTTCTATCGAGTCGATATTTTTTAGCATGTTCAACGTCACATCGTGGCGGTGGACTCAGAAAAGTCTCGTGCTAATCACAATATGCGGCGGACACACTTGTATGTCTGTTTAACGTTAATGATAATAATAGTTTTAATTTATGCAAGTAATATACTTGCATAAATTAAAACAACCGGTAACATCCGGTGGTAATTCAATTATAACGAAGCTAGGTTCGAATTTTCTTGCTCCCATAATTACTTCAAAGACTTTAGAGGTAACCTTATAAAATATCGCATGGATTGTAGCAAATTGGTTTCGTTAATTACTTGCCTGTCAATAAATTGAGGCTGCTAGAGGCAGAGGGGGCTAATAACAAAAAACATGATTTTTAAATAAGGAGTAGATTAAAATGCGCAGGCGAAAATTAATTTATACTACTATTTGTGTAAGAATTCTGTTAACAAATTCCGGTCACTGTGCTCTTGTAGATTAATATTTTTAGATTATAAAAATATAAAAACCTGCCTCTAGCGGCCTCAAATAGTGGATTTTTGTCCCAAACTCACCGTGCCATAATTGGGATTATACACAATATCTCTAAATCCCAATAACTAATATAACACTATATTATTATACTAGCTGTGTCAGCAACTTCTTCCGCGTAGAATAGATATTTTGAGCATCCAAATTTAATTTTGTAAACTTGTGTTTATCTTTATAAATTTAAACTGTTACCCACGACATCGGTTGCGTCCCTCCCTGCCCGTCGTTTTTCAAGTTAATCAAAGACAGCCATATAGCGTCGCGGACTTATTTTTAGATCATTTAAAGAGAAATGATTTTTCAATATATATTTTTGGGTGTCTTTCACCGTTTTCGCAGCATATGCTTCAGAAGGCCACATAAATTAATAATCTCCCCAGTTTTACACATTTCCCGCTGTTTCTTATATAATCACAGCGCAATGTATGCGCCTATAGCGTTCCTCAATAATTGCTCTAATCAACACAAAAATAAGTTTTCAATTTGAACTAGTAGTTCCTGAGATTGGCGCTTTCAAACAAACAAACTCCTCAGCTTTATATATTAGTGTAGATACTAGTAATAACGTAAAATGATTGATGAACGAGTAGTCTGACTATGAATTGAGACGATATCGTTCATTCGAAAAAATCTCATTCAATCACTCGGGACGATCTTTCGATTTGACTTCGATAAAATTACCATTTAAGGGTCAGATGCAACAATAGGCTAATTACACAACGGATTTGAGTTCATTCATCAATCAAGTTCGAACTGAATTAGATACCATATCTTTTATTTGAATAAATCTGTCATAAATAAATAACAAGTTATTCTATAGATATTATGTATTCTTTGTCATATAAATATATAATTTTGTTTAGATAATATATACCACAAAGATGATAAACTAACAGATAAAAAATCTGGTAATCACTTAAGTTAGTGCAAGTAGCTAACTTGTTTTAAATAATATATTTCGCGTTTTAAACCGTTACGTGTATTTTATTTACACTATTTATGTTGATTTTTTAAACTTTTTAACTTCTTTAGCAGTAAAATGAGAGTATTATTTACACTTCGAAGTTGTATTTTTATTTTTCCTAAGCGACAGGAAAAAATTACAAAAACACACATAAAGTAATAAATAGGCTTTTAGTGGAAAATGTAGTTTGAATCGACTCACCTACAAAAATATGTTCCTTGACAAAGAGTAACTCTAGTAAAATCAAAGTAACTCCACAACCAATTGTATTAACTTAATAAACATTTTCATAGTTATAACTTGTTATCTTATCACGAATATTATTATCAATACATCTTTAAATATGATAGACCTTCTGCGAATTCGTATGATGTGTTCGCCATTTCATTTTATTCGATACTAGCTATGTCAGCGACTTCACCCGCATAGAAATTGAACATCGGAATTTGTTTTTGCAAACCCCCTCTTTGTTTTTATAAATTTTGGCTATTGGCCAGGACGTCGGTGGTGTCCTGTCGTTCTTGCAAGTTAATCTCTAAAGATAGACTAATAGTGTCGTGGACATTTTTTTAAGGTCATTTAAAGAGGAATCATTCTTTCATTCATATTTTTTGGATATCTCGAACCATTTTCGCAGCGTACGTAACGAAAACCACTCAATGATTAATAATTTTCCCGTTTCCTCCACATTTCCCGCTGTTTCTTCGCGCCTGTAAGTCACAGCGCGATGTTTTATAGCCTTATAACCTTGATCGATTTTTTCAATTCCCTCCAAGAGTTTCTGAGATTACCGCGTTCAAACAAACAAACTGTTTAAATAAAACACTTTAACGGTTTAAAACGCGATATATTTTAGTTAAATTTGTTTAAATATTATTTTAATTACGGCCCGACGTTTCGGATGCTTTGCAGCAGCCGTGGTCTCAGCAAACATGTTTAACTAAAATATGATGCGTTTTAAAGTGTATTGTTTAAATGTGTACTACTCGCGTAAACTACAGACAGTATTTAAACAAACTCTTGACATATTGAGCCGTGTGTATATATAAGTATATACTTAAATTATATACTTAGAGTTTTATCTCAAGGATCACAAGAATAAATCGCAGATATTAGAGTGAACGAGCTGTGTACTTTTATACGGAATCACAGTAACTTAGATATAAAACACGTTACCGTGTGTAGTGTAAACTGGAAACGAGTTAAAATCGGGAAAAACAGAATTTTCGAGTTTTCAGGGCATGTCATCAGAACACAAAGGCTGATAGCTTTATTTGATGGAAAATCGCATAATTGACGACACAGGCGGGTCTCAAACCCACGACTGAGTGCACTATTTACTTGACAAATTGAACCGTGGCCCTTCTGGCCCATTTTTAATGTGAAGAAACTTAAATAAATAAATTAATTAAGTAAACCCGTGTCACTACCAACGACAGTGTGTAAATCTTTTTAGTCTAATATCTAAAAGTAGATGTACTGTTACATCTATACTAATATATAAAGCTGAGGAGTTTATTCGTTAGTTGGAACGCGAAATGATGAAGTTTATAAATATGAAGGTTTGTGCAAAAACAACATTTTGATTCACAAAATAACTATTCTACGCGGACGAAGTCGCTGACACAGCTAGTGTCATATAATTTGCTCTATAGGTATATGTATTCCCAGGGCTCCCTCAAAGCACCGTAGAGAGCTGATGGTGTGTTTAGTGGCTCTGGCCGACTATACGATTTACCACGCTCCCACGTCACTATTGCCCGACGTAGGCGTGCATTAGGCATTCACACTATCAGTTTTAAAAAGAAGGTACAGTAAATACTTTTACTTTTTAATCTGTGGAATAGAACTTTTGTTATGAAGACGTTATAACATTACCTTCGTTTAGGCCTCAGTAACCTTCACAGTATCATCTGGTACTTCTAGCACTTAACACGTATTAAACAGGGGAACTGATAAAATTTAAGTGTGAATATGAACAGAAGCGCGAAGAAACTGAGTATAGGTTATCGCATGCGCGGGAGTTACTAGCTTGTTATTGTTTGATAATGCTTATTATTAGGGATGGCTCGATATTCGGTTCGCCTTCGGGTAACCGAATTTATTAAAAGTTAAAAGAGAAAATGCTAATGGTGTCATAGCGGTATGTTTATTAAGTACTTTTACATACATTTAATAGAACTGTACTTTAATTATGTAAGGATTTAAAAAAATATTTAGTTTGAAACATACATACTTTTTGTTAGCGAGTTTTTTATTCGTTTTTCTCATTTGTTTGAATAATAATTGTAAATTGTAATCTTCATATTTTTTACCTTTTTTGCATTAAAGGTTGAAAAAATGTTTTAGATAGAAGTAAATAACTGTAAAGGTTAGGCGGTTTACTTCGGAATTCAATATATTATATTAATAACCGAAACTGAAGTTCGGTTTCGCTTAGCACTGGTCCAACTCTACAAATGTTGGTAATAGTGGGACGATAGTGTCTCTGTCGTGCAATAAGCAATTAAGAAATATACCATCAAGTCAGCTTTTATCTTGACTCGTAACGATATTCAATACTTTAACGTTCCAAAACCTTATTCAGAACGGAAAGTTGTGGATGTGATTTCGAGTACTGCCCGTGCCATCAAATTAAAAGTGTATGTAATAAGGTTTTTTTATTAAACAATCAAACAAAACATAAAAAGATGATCTTAATAAAACACTTTGAAGGGTTAAAACGCGATATGTATCAGTTAAACTTATTTGTAAATTATTTAACTACGGACGTTGCGGATCAGCCGTGGTCACAGGGAGAGAATATGTATTTAATCAAAAGATCATTCCCATTTAAATAAAACACTTTAAACGTTTAAAACGCGATATCTTTCAGTTAAACTTGTTTGAAAACATATCGCGTTTTAAACCGTTAAAGTGTTTTATTTAAATGTGTATTACTCGCGTAAACTACAGACAGTATTTAAGATCATTTTAAAGGTACAAATTTTCGTTTTTGGAGTGATTTTTGTTTTGATATGGAGGGAATTTCGATATTCCTTCCAATAACTTCATATTAGCGTTATATAAGCCTCGTTGGACCAACAAGCCTATAACTATGATGCGACACTACAAATGATGATTTTAGTTTTTGTTACAAGATTAATACCACAGATAATAAACCGCTGGCCTTCCTAGAACCGTTTTTATGGTTTATTTGCTAGTGTGCAATTCTATTGCTTAATTAGTTGTAAACACACCAATTAAGTGGAATATGTATTGGCTTTGCTTAATAATAACTTGCCGGATGCCGTTCGGACTAGTCCTAATACGCAATGACCTTGAAGACGTGTCTATACTAACATTATAAAGTTTGTTTGTTTGAACGCGCGGTTCTCGGGAACTACTGGTTCGATTTGAAAAATTCTTTTTGTGTTGGATTATAGAAAACATCCAGCTGCAACCAACAAGGGTAAAGAAACGGCCGGAAATGTGGAAAAATCCAAGAAAAATTATTAATCTTTCAGGGCTTCCGTTGCGTGCGAAAACGGTTTAAGAAACCAAAAAATATGTGTGAAATGATGATTCCCCTTTCAATGATCTAAAAAAATGTCCACCAAAATGAATGTCCATCTTTTAAGATCTACTTGCAAGAACGATGAAACGTGGACGACGTCGTAGGTAACAGTTATAATCTTTATAGATAAGTATGAAGATTTGTAAACGTACATTTTAATGTCAAAAATAACTGATCCAAGCGGACGAAGTCGCGGGCACATTTATATATTAAAAGTGACAAGGATAATAAAGATACTATATTTTGCGATTCTCACTATTGATCTACAATACGGAAATTCTTCAATCATGTTGGATTGATTCTACGAAAAGAATATAACAAATAATACATTGTAATTGTGCAGAACATGCGATACTAATACGAGTAACAAATAATAAAAATAATGTTTTAAATATATGCTGGGGACATTTCAGAACCACTTCTTCACGTCGGTCGAAAAACAATGATATGTTTTTGATACTGTGACTGGCCTATCAAAGGCAGTTACGAAACAAGAAATCAGTCACTTTATATGAACCGGTGGATCAAAGCAATCGGAACATCACGACCTGTTAATTGGAGATAATTGGCCGAGGGGACACGCGCCGGATCTTGGGTCTCCAATAATTTACAGCTGTTACTCAAGCGAGCATATGGACTTATGAATGGTGTTAGTGATTTTAATTTCTGGTCTATATACTGTATCAGGCAATTTAGTGATTTTTTTATTGTGATTATTATTAACTAGCTGATCTGAGAAACATTGTTTTGTTGCTTGCAATATTAATTACATAATAATTATGTTTATACAATTCTAACAAATAATTGGTAACAATGCATTCATTACGGGCAAATTTGGTTACCATAGAGACGGTCCTTACGAGTTATTTTTAAAAGTTAGACATTGGATTAGCGCTTTCAACCCAACAAAATCTACAAATTTATAATATTAGTTATAGATTTGGCGTTTTTTTTCCCACTCTACATTCTCTCACTCACATTAACTATCTATAATGGGGACTACTTTATGGAATGTGAAATAGGCATCATCAAGATGCACTGTTGATCTATGTATGCCTTTTGGACATTCGGAAATAAAGAAAACCGAAACGCGATTAAACTTCAGGGCTTTATCATCTGCGAACGCTGATTTTCGCGCGACACGTAATTTTGACTCGAAACTTTCCCATGCGAAGTCAATATTGTTTTCAGAAAACTTTTAAATTTATTAGACAATATGTATTAGACCCATTGAGGTTCGAACCGAGGACTCGTTGATATTAGAATAATAGAGTTTAGAATCAGTACATAAATTTTGTATTGCATAATCTGTTTAATAAACAATTGCTTTCCATCTTGCCAACCTCAATTAATACGGATCTTACATCTCGAACTATAACCGACGATAACCATCCGATCTCGATCGGAGCCATATTTTCCCCGAGGGCACAGGATTTCGTGACACCGAACCAGACCACGGGCCGACCCATTATGGAGTGCGGCCAATAGAACTGTCTCACCACTTATTAATGACCGGGAGACAATGATGCTAATGCTATTAAGTGGTCCTCACATTTGCCAGCCAGCTTAAATAGCTCCTCAATTGCTGCCTTAACGATGCGAGACCATGTCGCGTGGAATATATAATCTATGCTCATAATGACCAGCCAGTCCTACGAGGTAAATTAATTATTATAAAGGTCTCATCGCTTTTCAATCCTTTTGAATGCGGGAGAAAGATCATAAAATTCTGCGAATCCTATTGTCACTTATTTTGACTTTAAAAAACGATCATACATATTTTAACTATAGTACTAATAAGGTATCCAACATTTTTTGTAGTAAAATATCGTAGAGTGAACTACTTAAGTATAAGAACTATTCAACACATACTGTCTATAGTTTACGCGAGTAGTACACATTTAAATAAAACACTTTAACGGTCTCCCCGTGACCACGGCTGCTGCAAAGCATCCGAAACGTCGGGCCGAAGTTAAAAATCATTTTCGAATAAGTTTAACTAATATATCGCGTTTTAAACCGTTAAAGTGTTTTATTTAAATATTCAACACATTCGTTTATGTAATGGTAGCAACTTACGGCTAATTATCGACGTGGGTAGATCCTCACCAGGTCCAACATTTTTTTTTTCCCAATTTATATATTTTTTTGAAATATGTTGGACTTTGTCTGGATATTAAATGGCTTGTAGGAATATCCAAAGCCAGTCAGTGAAGGTAGCCGAATGGGTCTACAGCCCTTATTAATTACATTTTACACAGCTGAAGTAGTTCACCGCCTAAGTGAACGCCAACAGTCATTTTAAAAATTATATGTCGATCTTTAAATTAGTTAACTAATATATATCGCGTTTTAAACCGTTAAGTCATATTTAAATGTGTACTACTCGCGTAAACTACGGATAGTATTTTTATATGTCGAGTAATCGGCTCCCTGTAATTTGTTCATCTATCCAGAATTCATAAACTTCGCTCCGCAAATCGTTCTAGATCCAAGCACAGTATCGATGTCCTTCCCAACACCGGCTATAGGTTAAGTTCCCACGGTGTCAATGACTAGGCAAAAGTTGGAGATCGCCTTCTACGTCCGGCCATTATCCGTCTCATTTGCGGCGCGATACAAACGGCGTATTGGAGGCACAAATTTCGCCGATATAATCGCCCCGGTAAGACAATGGTTATCGGGCGATACCGACCGAGATAGCGCCGGATGTCTGATGGATGCGGCACGCTCGGGCGATACCATCGCCGTCGTGACGGGGTTGCATCCACGCCGTGCACCAATTATTGTTGGATGCAAAATATATCTATACTAATATTATAAACTGAAGAGTTTGTTCGAACGCGCTTATTTCAGAAACAAAACACAGGAAAAATCTATTAAAGATAATCTGTAAGTTAGATTTTGGTGTTGTGTGAGCTGCGAAAACTGTTTAAAATACCCAAAAAATATACATTAAAGAATATATTTCTCTTTAAATGATCTAAATTAATGTCGACAACAGTTTACGTATATATTTTATGATCAACCGATAACCTGAATATTATATCGATAAAGATATACTATGGGATTGCTTAGGTAAAGGATAGAAAACAATTAAATTAGACTCCAGCATCTAAAGACACTATAATTGAAAGATGATTTCATTTCATCGCTCGATAAATGTGTATCGATACTATAAGGGCTATCGAATAATAATCGATCAATAGGCACTAAGAACTATAAGGATAGACGCTGGTCTGTGTTCCGGATATTGAGGTCGACTTTACATTTGATGTAATCGGCTATCAATATTATAAGTACCGACTCATCTAAAACAGATACTTATATAAATAAAGCACTTTACGGTTTAAAACGCGATATATATTAGTGCTATTAAATGGGTGGTAGGAATATCGAAATTCTGTGCGCGTCGCGAAATTCCGTGCAGACACGAAATCACCGAGAAGTTCACGTTTCGACAGTCTGTGGATTTCCGAAAGACCGAAGCCAAAACAGGTCGACAAGGCATCTCGTTATGACCTACATATCATATACATACCTGAGATTTTCACGTCAAGGGAACCACATGCTTGTTTGTCCTTCTGTTATTAAAATTAACTATATCTTATTATATTATAGCGCCACCTTAATAGTCTAAAGACCATAGGCAAATGACCTCGCGACGTTGAACACTGTTTTCAATTAGTGCGACGGAAGATTTCTAAATGACTTACGTTTAATCGGTGGAGCCGTTGGTGGGAAGATCATTCAGGTCGCTAAGCCACCTGTAACAAAAACACTATTAATGTGATAATAATAAGTGTAGTCTAAGAGCTTGTAAGACAACGCACTGGCTGATAAATCTTAGAACAGCTATGTGAATAGTTTGGCTGCGCGCATCATATTACATAGTATAAAACAAAGTCGCTTTTTCTGTCCCTATGTACGGTTAATTCTTTAAAACAACGAAACGAATTTTGATGCGGTTTTTTTAATATCTATAGAGTGATTCAAGAGGTTTTTATAGACAACATTCACCGTTTCCGTAGCGTATTTAGTATCAGCATTGCACCAGAGCGAAGTCGGGGCGGGTCGCTAGTATAGACAGTAAAATTGAATCCTTTACTTTCGATAATATAATACGTATCTTAATATTAAAATATCCATAACCACCTACGAGTACGGGTAGGATACATTTCTGTGTCCGTTCACCGTTCGATTTTATTTACAGGCTACAAAAATTTATTTGAACATAAGACCACCGTATTAACGTAATGCTAGGCAACACGTTTAAACATTGATCCACGAAGTTATTTTAATATTTTACAATACTCAAGCAAAATTGCCTATTTTTATATATGTATAGGTATAAAATCGAAAAAAAAGGTATAAAATCGATTCGGGCAGGACTGAAATAATTAAAGTTTTCAAATATTTTATAGCTTAACATATAAAGTACAAAAATACAATTTTATTTCATAAGATAAAATTTTATATGCAACTAAACCGGGCATAGGACACGGAAAGTTAAAAAAAATCTAATCTTTATCTATTACTACAACTATAGCTCATTTTACCATATTTTAGACTAGTGGTAAGAATGCTGCGAAGTATTTTAACAGCGGCGTTAGATGTCGTGATTTCTTGCTAGTGATTTTGAATGTCGACAATCCTTCGACAACACGTTCCTATACCTTGTCTAATATAGGATGATACGAGAAATCTATTTATATACTTAATTGAACATTATATGAAGTTTTATATATCGATACTTTATTTTTAATTTACACTTTATTTCATCTTTATTCTTAAATACTGTCTATAGTTTACGCAAGTAGTACACGTTTCAATAAAACACTTTACCGGTTTAAAACGCGATATATTAGTTAAACTTATTGAACATGATCGGTCGGGCCGAAGTTAAAAATAATTTTCAATAAGTTAAACTAATATATCGCGTTTTAAACCGTTAAAGTATTTTATTTAAATCTTTATTCTTTTTAGAGTTTGAGAGACAGGCTTTCTCACGAGGGGTTTCTCTAGCAATATAACATCACAACAAATTCGTTGTCTATCTATTTCGGTTTTGGATGTTCAGAATCCACAGACTGGACTGGACACCGGTGAAATGTTTCGTGACCCGGTCGGAATTTTCATTTTCTTATCACGACGAAGCCCTATATAGAAAAATACATGGTTAAGATACAGTAAGGATCACACCCACGTCCCATTATTAGCTATACATTGCTACTATTAGCCCATTTGTTCTTTTGCACTTCAGACTTCAAAAAGTGGGCGGCACCCGTCAATCACGTCACGTAATTGTAGTACGAATAAGAACGAAGATTTAAAAGATAAGACACTTCATCCTATATTAGACGGGGTGTACAGCATCGTGCAAAAAGTTGCAGTAGCTGCAGCACGTCTCGCGTTCCACAGGTGGCTTGCGTGCTGTGAGGGGGACAGATGTGAAGATTATCTTATCGACAGCGTACATCTTGCACGATCCCGCATTATAAATTAAAATACGACTAAAAAATGGGGCACGCTAGGATGTCGCGTGTAACGAAATTTTCACTTAATTTATGTATTCTTTAAAAACTAACCCAATTAGAGCGTTAGAATTTAACTTTCTATTAGAGTATCGTATTATACGTATTAGGTGCCAAAACACTACAAAAATGTTTAGTTTGTTATTATATAAACACTATTTTAAAGCAGTTAATTATAAATATACATAAATACTGTCTATAGTTTACGCGAGTAGTACACATTTAAATAAAACACTTTAACGGTTTAAAACGCGATATATTAGTTAAACTTCGGCCCGAGTCTCCCCGTGACCACGGCTGCTGCAAAGCATCCGAAACGATGGGCCAAGGTTAAAAATCATTTCCAAATAAGTTTAACTGATATATCGCGTTTTAAACAGTTAAAGTGTTTTATTTAAATAAATATGCATATACAATACTAAATAAATGTATATTTGAAAATATTAATATTTTGATGCACATGATGGCACTATAGACATAAATTCTCGGTTTTCGATTGACAAAAAAAATACGACATGGGCAGTACTGGAACCGGCATCCACGGCATTCCGTAGTGCTGCTCTTACTAAAATATGAAGAGTAATATAGAATTTAGATCAATAAGGTACTTATAAAACCATCACGAGGCATATGCAGCATGCATGGTGCATGTTCGGCGCATGCGCAGCTTACAGCGGTAATGCTAATTCAATAGCGCAATATCGCCGTATCTTGATACAGACTCGATCCGATAGTCTACGATTCCGGCCGATATGGTTTCATTCGTGATTTATTTTGGCCATATAAGCGCATGCCAACAATGCCCTGCCTCTTCGATTTACGACGGTCGATTTGGTCGCGATAAGGGATCTTAAACTGTTATTTAATCAGCATTATTAGTCGACTTGGAGGTCCATACCCTCAAAGAGGCGGTCACACGATCGCCACGCTGCTGGCACTATGACAAATTAAAATCACTAATATTAAGTGCGAGCTGTGCCAGCGACTTCATCTGCGTATAATAGCTATTTTGGACACCAAAATTTGTTTTTGCAAACCTCCTCTCTCATATTTATCAATTATATTGTTACCCACGACGTCGGTCGCATCCTTTAATTCTTGCAAGTTATTCTTAAAAGATAGACAAATACTGTCCCGGCAAATTTTTCAGGTCATTAAAGGTGGAATCATAATTTCATACATATTTCTTGAACCGTTTTCGCAGCGCACTCAACTGAATGTATCAAAGGTAAATATTTTCGACATTTTCCACGTTTCATCGCTCTTTTTTGTCGTAAAGCCACCACAAAAATAGTTGATAATATAAGAAAAGAATTAAATGCAACACCTTCAACTGTTTAAAAAAAATGTATCACTTAATCAAAACCAGACAAAACATATTTCGCAGTTTAAGACGTTATGTTTTATTTACAACTCCTAAAAATAGAAAACTACTTAAAAAAGGTTAATATCATAATTGGACAATTGTTCAAACGATTCAATATTTGTCCCGTAACTGTTTAATCCCTTAAAAAATAAAAAGTATATTTGCATATATGTGACGGAAGATTATTTTACATGGCAAGGCATGGACAGACGAACTGACAAAAACACAGCATCTAAAATGTTGTGTTTACTAATTTATCTATACATAAATAGTAAATTATATCAGAATTTAAAAATCGAAAATAAATTGAAAAAAATTTCGACTCGGGCAGGACTTGAACCGGCATCGTCACCGTTCCGTGCTGTTGCTCTACCAATTGAGCTACCGAGTCCTCTTACTCGGTTACTCAATTTATTTTCGATTTTTAAATTATATAATGCCTTCATGTGCAATAACATCAGAATTCTTTAAAATTATTAAAAAAGTCAACACGAAACACTAGAGCCAGTACAGTATTAATATTGACTAGCTTCTCTTACTCATAAACCCTTATCAATATATTTCCTTTATATCTGCAGCTGCACCCATGAATCTTAATAGCGATGAAATTCGAGCGATAGCCAGTGACTCACGGTGACAGGAAGTCTGTCGATGTACGGTATAACTCATTATTCTTTAGAAGTTCTTTGAAGATTACTTGACTTAGATCTGATGTTTGTAATGTAAAATGCAAGCATGTATAAACAAAGCTGGAAATGCATGTTTGTATGACACTTACGTCGTCTGTCGCTAATTAAAATTGATGGGCTCTTTGGTGTAACAGCAGGAATGTATGACTAATAATCAAAGGGTCGTGGATTCGATCCACGGGGTCCAACATTATTCTTATCAATTTAAATTTTTCAAAAACATTTT